TTGCTGCGGTCCCTTTTCGCTTGGTAGCTGACTTATTAATAAATACTAGAGAAAGCATGTTTATTTCATATGTTGATCTTGCGTAACAAACATTTGAATTTTTGAATCCTAATTTAAACAAAGTATCATGCCATGGCGGCTGTGCAGAAAATAACTTCAAAGATCTAATAAAAATAATTTGCAAATGCGTCCGTCTGCTAATATAGTCACGTGCTATCAGCGCTTACGTGGTATTAGATGAATGTATTAATTGTTTTTGATGATATAAGTGTCATATCACTCGAGTGTAATCCCTCTAAAGCTTTCATCTGTATTTGACATACGTTAGACGATCGCTTCCACCCTACATATTTGCAAATATGGGTACACAAGGCTGCCCTGTTTGATTACTACAAACTTTTCACCTACTTCGCATACAACATTTATATTTTTTCAAAACTTTTGTCAAACAATAGTGTTACTTGATTCCTTAAATAAATGTTTTAGACAAAGTCAATCTTCATTTTTAATTGGAAGGTATATATTAGTTAAGTGTAAAGTGTTTGAATTGAAGTTTTAAGTATTACCAAAAATGTGGACGATTTTTAACGTATGTCAGTTAAACAAACTTTTGTATTGCTTAAATATTTTCTTTTACTATTGTCGTGTATTTAATTTTTTTACAAAACTATGTTATTAATCAAAATATTCCCATGAACATATGCTATACTGAGCAACGACCATTATTTTAAAATAAACTTATAATAAAGCTTATAATAATTATAAAACTTTTGTCATACACTTATTCACGACGTCTCTGTTTATAATACTTTGATATTTGTCAACATAAGCTGGGGAAAAAATTGATTCTATATACTCGTATATGGTGACTTATAGGTCCATTAGGCTGGGTGTAAATGCTGTTAACCTTAATTCACATGTATCATATTATTGATTTAAAAAAAGAAATAATGACTTTATCAGTTTTCTGTCTTATTACTGTATTGTTACTGTCTGGTCCTTTGGGATCATTGATTCCAGCATATTTAGTATTGAAAACTGAAGACCACTGAAGCCGGTGCTAGGGGGTATGAGAGATATTGGACTTTTACGTTATTTCTCACGAACAGACTCAATTAAACCGAGTCTCGTTTTTTATATAATTATCTTATATTAATTGCTTCCGAGGATCTCGACTTTTCCAGATTCTTTGTTGTGTTTTAATGAATGTAGAAAACATTTAGCTATATATATTTTTTATCTAAAAATCAATGGTTTTCATATTCGAACAATCAATGGCGATGAAGAACTCGGCACAGCCTTTGACCATATACGAGAACACAAAATGATATAGTTTAATTCCATTCCTGCACATTTTATGCAATTGAATAAAAAGGGCAAGCAATGTTTAAGAACTTTAAAGATTAAATACACCATTAGTCAGTATGGAATTTTATCAACAAATATTCATTTGTTAAATTTACTTGGATGTTAACTGGGCACTAATATGTCCAAGGAAAATGTGAATTGTAACTATAATGCCTACATCGCATCACTAAGTGCATATATTATTAGGCCCAGCTTTGTCATCATTTTGCGCATGACTGGCGGATCGCTTATAACATGAAGAATTAATTCGATGACCAATTCCTTTATAGACCACTTTACGACATAAATATTCAAATTAGCAAATTACCCTATTCTTTTTTACGACATTAATTTTCGCCGATGTATAAAGGATACTTCTAACATTAAGCATGTTTTACTAGTGTTTTGAGTCTATGCCCGAGATAAATTTCGCCATGTTTTGAAAGAAATATTGCTCATATGTGAAAATTACTAAATTTTACGGCATCAATTCGACTCTTTGGCGCTGAAAATATATTCATATTTTTTCAAGTCAGAAATTGGGAAAATAATTTATATTTATGTGATATACTCCTTTATGCAGCTTCAGATTTTTATTACAAGTGCAAGTTGCCCTATAATTTCATGGCATGTTTTGAACTTAGGTATAAATTAGAATTTCAGATCGCGCATAGGCCAGGGGGGGGGGACTAATATGACGTAACATATGCATGTTTAAAAAAATATCACTGTATAATATAAAGAATGAGTCAATGTTAACAATAATGTACAATGTATATATTTTGTTTTCATATGCGAAAGATTTGATAAAATTGAATAATAATTTGTTGAATGAGTCGGCAAATGTTTTTCAAACATAAATTATGCTTTGTGAATCAAATCTATATATGTCATATCAGCTAATATCAAGATCAAATAGCACGTGAGCACGTGCATTTCTAATACAATGATAGATGTTGTTTCAAATGTAAGAATCGTTATCTTCACACTTGGTTCATTACGAATTTAAAATGTTTAAAAGAAGGTTACCAATTAAAGATGAGTTATTTAGCCAGACTTTTAATGGTTCATGACAGAAATTTAAATACAATACAATCTTTATGACATGCGTAATTTGTCAGCGATCTTTGCTCCTTATTTAAGAATAGTTCACCTTTAAAGAAAGAAAAAAATGAACGAGGAAAAGGGTTAAATTAATATGATGAAATTATTTTTTTAAGCTCAGCAGGTGTTTAAACGTTTAATACGTTTGAAGGGTTATACTAATAAAAACTAACCGATCGTGCGATTTTACTATCACTAAATGTATCAATTCGCCTTTTATACTTTCCCTCCTTTCGGTAATAAACTTCATTTCCTTTAATCAATTACATCTAATATAAGCGATTTCTAGAGCTATTAAAGGTATTTTGACAAAATTGCTACAAAATATCAATAGATATTAAAAAGATAAAACTCCCCAGATCAAAGAAAAGCTTTCATTTTAAAGTTATATATTGTCGAAGATAGTTAACTTAAGTTATTGAGATATTTATGTATACATGTTTTTTATCAATGAAGTTAAAACTCACCAAAAATGACGGTGCATTTTGCACTAACCTTTGTTACACATACGTTGCAAATTAGTAACAAATACACACGAGGTATTTATAAATATCAAACGAAAGCACACTCCTTTGTCATGCTTATTTTTTCATATATCAAAATACGATATAATCATTATAACTAAATCAATCCATTAACTTTTGAAGTGACTTTTACTTTTTTACACCAAGATATTCCTACCCCAACCCCTAACCTCCACCCTCCCAAGATATTACATTCAACCAAATTGTTTACAGAAAATGATTTTCTCGGACTTTTGTTATGACAATTTCAAGTGACTGCACACATGCAATACGAAAATAAAGTTGGATTTCTGTAATATTCCAACCCATTTTTAACCCAATGGAATAATATATATATGTTTAACGTACGTTTAATTTAAAAAAAGAGAGACATGTCCATCTTTCATTCTGAACAAAGCCATTCACCGTTTTTCAAAAATTTCAAAATATGTCCTGACTGAATATCAAACTTTGCGCTGGCTGATCTTGGTCTCTGTGCACATAGGTAGAATATATTACCATCTTCGCAGCGTACAGGTTAAAATGTGTTTTAAAGGCACATTATGCATCAGAAACGAACCAGTTTTTTCCCTTCTTTAGAAAGGACAAACATAAGTTCAATAAAATTTAAATAATCGCTTTAGAACGTGTAAGACGCTTATTATCTGAAGGAAAAAAAGCGCCGATGGAAAATTTTGTCATGAAAGTAAGAAAATATAAACAAAGTAGTAATTTGACTTCCGTATATAATACTAAATCAGTATAACTGGACTTTTTGATAAAATTAGGAGTCAAAAGATCGTTCATAAAATTGGTAAAAGAGTTTTTATAACTAATTAATACAGGATACCAAAAACAACATTCAAAAGCCTTGAGAAATAAAGATAAAAGCATTTCTGGTGCATTATGGGCCTTTAAGAATAATGCTTTGTAACTTCATAAATTGTGTTGTTATTATTAAAGCTTCAAACATACATGAATTCGTGTACAGTTTTTCCCCCCGAAAATTACAGTTATCGTCAATTAAAAGTTGGTAACGTAAAATAATCCTAAAGCAATAAATTTTTGTAAGGCGTCTCCAACGAAAATGTTTATTATTTTTATATTGTTCTACATAAAACATAAATTGCCGCATATCTTTGGAAAGAAATGTGCAAAAATTTCATCATTAAATCTTAAATAATAAATAAGTAGACTTTTTCGTTTTGTGTAAAAAATTGACTTTAGATGAAAGATATCATTTTTATCTCACTCTGGCGATCGAAGGGATATTAATATAAATTACAGATTAATGCAAAAATAGCATTATAAATATGCATTTAATAATTGATACGTGTAAACAAATGGATATCAAATGTTACCGATGAAAGTCTATTAAAAAAAACTAAATACTGGCCGTCAATGAACACAACTTTTCTTCTTTTTTAAAAAAAATATAATTTGATGTTTTAAAACTAATTCTTGACCATTATTTTCTTTAAAATCATATGTTTTATTATACATAGTTATTCTCTTTCAATTAAAGCTTCTTAGGGCCAATTTATCGTATCTTAAATCTATATGAATATTCATAAAATGCTATTCCATATTGTTTTGCAGATGAAGTAGACTGAAATTTGAAATGTATAACAATATATTAATTGCTGGAAATAAAAAAATCGCCAATTTCAGAAAATGTCAAATTTGAAAATTTACAAATTAAAACAAAATTCGTATACAATAGTATTCATTCTTAATATATTGCCATATTTTACCTTATTTTTTTTTGGAGAAGATTTTGATATATAAATTACAATTTAAAAGCTTATCTCTTTTTTCTTTTAGTCATGGTTATATTTATTTGATCGACATATAAAGGTTTGATAAAGATTTAATTTTAAATTAAAATAAATCTTACATCTAAACGATATTTAAATACTAATTAAATAAGCATTTTCAAATTTTACAACAGATAACGCATAAATAATGTAAATAATTTTTAATAATAGCTTTTAAATGAAGAAATGATTTTTTTTTTTCAAAATTAATAAAAGAAACCATTCTTACCTCATTAAATAATATAATTCCAATTTTTCAAGAAAAAATGTTCTCCAGTATTTATTATTATACACTATAATCACATAAACGAAAACAGGCTGAAATTTCTTAATATTTTGGGTATATATATATACATAAATAGTTAATTATTTAAACTGAAACGCATCCGTGACTTTTGCACTTGGCCTTATACAGTCAGTCAAGGCAGTGACATCGGGATTTTACGCTCGGTAATTTCCGTAAGCTTTAGATATCAACGTTCGTTAAACTTCGCTTTCGTCAAATGGCCTTTGCCAGTTTAACAATTAAAGTATTTATTCCTTTTGAAGTCTCCATTGTAAATAAGCTCGACTTTTCTGTAAATTTACATAGAGTTTCACATGATAGCGTTGACTGTATATGTGGATAGATATTACGGACCTGTCCTATGGTTTATTTCGTCCCGACAATCTATTGTAAAACCATCTCTTGTACAATTGTGTTAGGGAAATAAAATAAAGAGATGAACACTGAAATTAATTAAAGACACAGTGCTTAAACGTGTAGTGTAAATGGTGAAAAACTGATGTCATCGCAGCGTCCGATACAATGCAGCATTAATAAAAAACTTTTTACTGATTTGCACTCTTTTTTATTTCTTAGTCAGTGTTATTATAAAAAAAGAACAGGATGAAATTACGAAAATAGGTCATTCCACTACCACATTCACAGAATTGCCATTATAGAAATGTCCAGCTGAATCATAATGTCCTCTACATTAGTTACAACGTCAATGTGACGAATGACGAGCTTTGGGTCAATATGTGAGACAAGAAATTAAAGGCACATTCTGCCTCGGAAACTAATATACTTTTTACTTCTTAAGAAAGGGAAACACGAGTATTATAACGTTTAAATTAATGGTTTTAGAGCATGTTACACGATGAGTAAAATTATTTGTCATAAAAGTGGCAAAATGTAAACAAAGTAGTATTTTGACTTCCATGCAAACGACTAAATAACTGCTATTTTTACTAATTGCCAAAAGGCAGCAGAAGAAAAAGGTGGTTCAGATAATTAGCCAATGAGTAACTTTTTGGAAAAGTACACCAAAAAGAAAACAAAACTTTTGAGAAATTTTCTGAGGCATAATGGGCCTTTTAGAGTATGTACATCCAGCTGGTCCTTCAGTTTCCGCTGAATTGCGGTGCTATTATTACTGCATCCAACAACATGCAATTCGAATTATGAATTCAATTTTACATAAAGTTGTATGTAAGACAAGAGCATTTAATTCAGGAAATAAATGTTTTGTTGTTGTTTTTCCTCCACGTGAATACAGTTACCTATACGAATATGAACCCACAGCGGTGAGATGTGAGAAGTGAGTGTTTCGAACCATTCGATCACGGAAGCCCGCAATTAAGTATGACGTGGCGGAAGAATTTATTTTCTTATGATTGAACAATTCAACGCTAGTCAGCAAGCTATGCATTTTGAACTACATTAATTACGCGTTCTGTGCAACTATGCTTCGTTCAGTTTGTATAATGTATGTGTGTGTAAATACTTAAAAACAATTTTGATAGCCCATTTGAACTATGCTATAAGGGTTTCAATGAAATAATACACATCAACCCTTCCGTAATAAAAACTGGCTAGAATTTTTTTACCAGTGAGTCTGAAAAGGACGCAAAGGTTGTGTCCATTCTTTACAAAGGGGTGTAATAATGATAAAACTTTCATTACACGAGTAAGCTCCCCTGGGAAAATTATGAAAAACTTTGGCGGGGCTACTACCAGGCAAGTCTTTAGCCGTTTCGGTGAGATTTTAAACTTCCCCTTGCCGTAAAAGAATGCATTGTTTCTCTTAACAAGAGCTGTCACAGGAGACAGCCAAGCTCGACTAATAAAATACTGGACGCAGTAAGGAGGACAAAACTATGAAAGAAAAATCAATTATGTGTAATTATGTATTAAGTTATAGTAAAAAAATAACATTTGTTAAAATAAATTCCAAGATCAAGGGAAATAATTCTAGAAATAGTCACGCTAGAGTTATGAACCTTGTCACACAACATGTATGTAATGATAAGAAATATATATTTGAAGTTTGAAGTAGATACCTTAAAAAGTAACAAAGTTATTAATATTTCTTAAAGAAAATCCTAAGTTCAAAGAGAGATAAATCTGTAAAAATTACTTCAAGAGTTATGAACATTGTCACATAAAATATAATTGATTATAAGGAATAAGTATTTGAAGTTTGAGGTAGATACCTTTAAAACTAAAAAAGTTATAGTAAAAAATAACATTTTTTCTAGTAAAAAAATCTAAGTTGATGGGAGATAATTCTTGCAATATTGGTGCTAGAGTTATGAACCTTGTCACATAAGATGTGGATGATGATAAGGTACATTTATTGAAGTATGAAGTTGATCCCTTTAGAAATAAATAAGTTACAGTAAAAAATAATATTTTTTAAGGAAAATTCTAAGTTCAAGGGGAGATAAATCTGAAAATATTGTTACTAGAGTTATGAAACTTGTCACACAAGATGGGGATGATGATAACGTAAATATATTTGAAGTATGAGGTTGATCCCTTATGAAATAAAGAAGAAACAGTAAGAAATAGTATTTTTTGAGGAAAATTCTAAGTTCAAGGGGAGATAAATCTGAAAATATTGGTGCTAGAGTTATGAACCTTGTCACATAAGATGGGGATGACGATAAGGTACATATATTTGAAGTATGAGGTTGATCCCTTCAGAAATAAAGAAGTAACAGTAAAAAATAGTATTTTTTAAGGAAAATTCTAAGTTCAAGGGGAGATAAATCTGAAAATATTGGTGCTAGAGTTATGAACCTTGTCACATAAGATGTGGTTGATGATAAGGAATATATATTTGAAGTTTGAAGTTGATACCTTAAGAAATGACAAAGTTATAGTGAAAAATATTTTACTGCACCAAAACTTTAATCTAAAATCTGGACGCGGACGCCGACGCCGGGGCGAGTAGGACAGCTCTCCATATACTTCGTATAGTCGAGCTAAAAATGAGTAACTTCTGAAAATATGTTGGTTCCAAAAAATAAAATTGTCCTCAGTTCTCTCGGGTTACTCGCCTTTATGGATTTCCAAATGCAACACACTCCATCAAGTTATCATGAACACAAAACAGTACTACATATTATATCCTAAATCTTGTAGGAATGGAAGAATGAATATTTCCTGAAAATGTTAAAAATATTGGTCAAAGTAAAAAAGGCCGGGTTGCATTTGTATTCCAAATGTCATGAGGCCGTGATGTTACGAAAATTTCCGACCATTGACAATTAATGTCGAAAATCTAACTTAAAAGTCGATAAACAAGAAGTGGGTGAGCCAGACCTAAAATCGAATTCCACGGTATGGGACCACGTGTTAATACTTTATACCAAATATTAAGAGGCTGTGATAAGTAGTTGCTGAGAAAACTGTTAAGAAAATTTCCGACCATTGACAATTATGTCGAAAATTTAACTTAGTCGATAAACAAGAAGTGAATGAGCCAGACCTAAAATCGAATCCCACGGTATGGGACCACATGTTAATGCTTTATACCAAATATCAAGAGGCTGTGATAATCAGTTGCTGAGAAAACTGTTACGAAAATATTTCCCCGCCCGCCCGACATTCACCATACTATAACCCGGGTTTGCACCTGTGCAGCCCGACCAAAAATTGGCGTCGGTATCGAGACAAAAAAACAACAGAAGAAATTTTTGCATAATTTAATTTTTATTTCAGACAATATAGTTATCAATAATAGATTTTGAGAAAAAACTTTATCACATAAAGTAAGACATGGTAACCAAATAGAACATGCATTGCCTAAAAAACATTTGTTACTTCTTTCAAACTAGTGCTAATCAGAGATGTTTTGTGTATTTCGATACATTATAGGTACTTATGTAACTATATCTTTATATGGATTGCAAAGTACAATATTCATGACCAAAAATCTTTATTTTAAATGGATTTGATAGTCATGTGATACACAACACTTTGGCAAAAATGTACATGCCTTTGCAAAGCCTCCTTTTGGATTTTCCATTCAGCGATTACTAAAACTACAATCTAGATATTAAAGGATAATCAAAACCTTACATCTTACACCAGTTGGCCTATGTAAATCACGCTATGTACCAGAAACAACATAATACTTGTACAATGCACATAGAGCTTCCATTAATGAAGTTTGGGAGTCATTTACTCCTTGTTTTTGGCTTGTGATTTTCAAATACTAATGCTTTTCCTAGTAATATGACTCCCAATGTCAGTGATTTTGCAGTCTCTGACTTCCAATTTTTTTAACTTAAAGTGACATTATGCTCAATTTTTCATTGTCAAGTTGAGCCTAATTGACTGTATATTTCAAAAGATTGACTGTTATAATGGTACTTGACCAACTGTTGATATTTGGAAAATATTTAGCATAGAATAAAAATTTGCGTAAAATATAAAAAGACTGCCCCACTCTTTTTATAAATTTAATGTAACAAGTACATTCTGATATATATTTAATGTTATTTCCTTTGGCCACATAAGTTAACCATCATTCACGTGAATTGGATTATAAAATTGAAAGGAATTATAGCAGATTGTAAACTTATTTTTACTTCTAACTGTTTATTCGCTATATACCCTTGGATGGGCAGAATGTCACTTTAATGGAAACCCTGTACACGTTGTTTAAAACAGTCTAAGTTGTCAAAAAACAAAACAAAACATATTTTTATATGCAAAAAGCAACACATGTTGCCTAGAAGACAACACAGTTTGCATGACGACCAACACATGTCAAACTTTTACATATTTACAACACACAATATCAAAAATACAGAAAATTGAACTATTCTTACATATAATGTTTTATTAATATTCTCCTTTTTACATATTGTACTTATTTTTGTTTTGGTTAATTTCCACATGTGGCACTGATCAAAGGACCTGTAGATTTATGGAGACACATATGAGCTGTGTCATGACAAAACCAACATAATGGGTTTGCGACCAGCATGGATCCAGACCAGACTGCGCATCCGAGCAGTCTGATCAGGATCCATGCTGTTCGCTTACAAACTCTATAACCAGTAAAGAAACCGATAGCGAACAGGATGGATCCTGAACAGACTGCGGGGATGCGCAGGTTGGTCTGGATCCATGTTGGTTGCAAACCCATTATGTTAGTTTTGTCATGACACAGCTCAAATAATTTTCTTTATCCTGGTGCTAAAAAGTACATTGTGATATGCTAAGGACCACAAATATGGTTTTATTTCGCCTCTGGTAAACAACCTTTTGCCACTGAATAAATCAATATAAGATGAAACTCTTAGAGTCTTGCCATGCATTAAGTTACAAAAGAACTGAAAACAGAAAAAAATATCTTTAGTGAATGGAACATCACCAACCTTCAAAGCATGTTCATGGACCATAGAAAGTACCAAAGCAAAATGTCAGTGGGAGAAAGAAACATTAAGTGTGACAGGAGAATGAAGGAAGGAATGGCTAACTTGACAACTACCATGAATCTGCTACACCATAAAATTTCAGAAACAACCAACATGAATTCGCTACACCCAAAAACTTCAGAAAGTGTAAAATCTAATAAGGAGAAGACAGTTTACAATAGAAGAAAAATCACCCACATGTTTAGACATGCAATAACAATGACTTAATTTCTCTTAATTACATTTAAAAATAGTACAATTTCACTCTCTGAGAAAAAGTAATTGTAAAATTTGAATGATAAATAAATGAAAACATGGGATGGCAACATTTTTATATGATCTTTCTAAAACAAATCAACCATCCGTCAAAAATAATAACATGTATACCAAAGACCTTAAAAAAGTTCACAAGAAAAGCACATAATTCAAACATAATGTTACAATATCTATTAATTTAAGGCGTTTAAATACAATACATTGAAACAATATAATAAAGGGAATTCAATAACATTAAAAACTATAAACAAATTCATGGAAATTTCATTGAAAGTCAGGAAAAAAATCATGTGCTTAAGCTGTAAGTTATGTAAAATCACCTTCCATTTATTTTCACACTTAAATTTATTGTCTTGTTGTGTTATATGTAAATAAATCTAAATTCAATGTAAACATACTGATTTTTATTTGAGTCCAATTTCTTGAACAAAGCAGGTTGTGAGGTAAAAATAACAAGAGGGCCATGATGGCCCTGAGGTTGCTCACCTGTATATAGGCCCACAGAGCGGGGCCAGTTTAAACCCCAGGGCTTTTATTTGAACAAACTTAGAAGACACTCATTAGAAGATGTTTCACAATGTTAAGTTTTTACTACACATATGTTATAAAAAACAATGATCTCAAGGTCCCCCAAACCCCCCCCCCCCCCTGGCAGGGCCAATTTTCACCAAAGGGCTTTTATTTGAACAAACTTTGTAGACATCCATAAGAAGATATTTCATGCTAAACATCTAAGCTCTAGCTCATTGGGTTTTTAAAAGAAGTTTTTAAGTTTTTACTACACACAAATAGTTAAAAACAATGACACCCCTGGGGCCGGGCCAGTTTTGACCCCAGGGCTTTTATTTGAACAAACTTGGTAGACACTCACTAAAAGATGTTTCATGCTTAATATCTTAACTCTAGCTATTTAGGTTTTTTCAAAGAAGATTTTTTAAGTTTTTACTATATGCATATAGGGAAAATCAAGACCCCCCGGGGCAGGCCAATTGATGACCCCAGGGCTTTTATTTGAACAAATTTTGTAGACACTCACTAGAAGATGTTTCATGCTTTACATCTAAACTCTAGCTATTTGGGTTTTTTCAAAGAAGATTATTTAAGTTTTTGCTATACACAGATAAGGAAAATCACACCCCCAGGGCGGGGCCAATTTTGACCCCAGGGCTTTTTTTTTTAACAAAGTTGGTAGACACCCATAAGAAGATGTTTCATGCTGAATATCTTAGCTCTACCTCTTTGAGTTCTTTCAAAGAAGATTTTGTAAATTTTTACTATGTTCATATAGGGAAAATCAATGACCCCCTGGGGCGGGGCCAATTTTGACCCCAGGGCTTTTATTTGAACAAACTTTGTACACGTCATTAGAAGATGTTTCATGCTGAACATCTTAGCTCTAGCTCTTTGGGTTCTTTAAAAGAAGAATTTTTAAGTTTTTACTTTATGCATATAGGGAAAATCAATGACCCCTTGGGGCGGGGCCAACTTTGAACCCAGGTTTTTTTATGAGAACAAACTTTGTAGACACTCACTAGAAGATGTTTCATGCCAAATATCTAAACTCTAGGTATTTAGGTTTTTTCAAAGAAGATTTTTTCAAGTTTTTACTTTATGCATATAGGGAAAATCAAGACCCCCCGGGGCGGGGCCAATTTTGACCCCAGGGCTTTTTTTTTTGAACAAACTTGGTAGACACCCATAAGAAGATGTTTCATGCTGAATATCTTAGCTCTAGCTCTTTGAGTTCTTTCAAAGAAGATTTTGTAAATTTTCACTATGTGCATATAGGGAAAATCAATGACCCCCTGGGGCGGGGCCAATTTTGACCCCAGGGCTTTTATTTGAACAAACTTGGTACACACTCATTAGAAGATGTTTCATGCTGAACATCTTAGCTCTAGCTCTTTGGGTTCTTTAAAAGAAGATTTTGTAAGTTTTTACTTTATGCATATAGGGAAAATCAATGACCCCCTGGGGTGGGGCCACTTTTGAACCCAGGTTTTTTATGAGAACAAACTTTGTAGACACTCACTAGAAGATGTTTCATGCCAAATATCTAAACTCTAGGTATTTAAGTTTTTTCAAAGAAGATTTTTTCAAGTTTTTACTATATGCATATAGGGAAAATCAAAACCCCCCAGTGGCCAATTTTGACCCCAGGGCTTTTGTTTGAACAAACTTTGTAGACACTCACTAGAAGATGTTTCATGCTTAATATCTAAACTCTAGCTATTTGGGTTTTTTCAAGGAAGATTATTTAAGTTTTTGCTATACACATATAAGGAAAATCAATGACCCCCCGGGGCGGGGCCAATTTTGACCCCAGGGCTTTTATTTGAACAAACTTGGTAGACACCCATAAGAAGATGTTTCATGCTGAATATCTTAGCTCTAGCTTTTTGAGTTCATTCAAAGAAGATTTTGTAAGTTTTTACTATATGCATATAGGGAAAATCAATGACCCCCTGGGGCGGGGCCAATTTTGACCCCAGGGCTTTTATTTGAACAAACTTTGTAGACACTCATTAGAAGATGTTTCATGCTGAATATCTTAGCTCTAGCTCTTTGGGTTCTTTAAAAGAAGATATTTTAAGTTTTTACTATATGCATATAGGGAAAATCAATGACCCCCTGGGGCGGGGCCAATTTTGACCCCAGAAATTTTATTTGAACAAACTTGGTAGACACTCACTAGAAGATGTTTCATGCCAAATATCTTAGCTCTAGCTCTTAGGGTTTTTTAAAAGAAGATATTTAAAGTTTTTTCTTTCGGTTGCCATGGCAACCAGAGTTCTGCATGGAATTAAATTCTTTGAACAATTTTTACAGTTGACCACCAAAGGAACATTCCTGTGAAGTTTGGATGAAATTGGCTTAGTGGTTTATGAGGAGATGTCATTTAAAGTAAAGGTTTACAGACGGACGGACGGACAGACGCCGGACGAAAAGCGATCACAAAAGCTCACCGTGTCACTTTGTGACAGGTGAGCTAAAAAACTTTAAGCTCATTCTCAAATATCTGATATGATATACACAAATGTATATAAAAATAATCTGGCAGATCTCAAAATTTGATTTTTTTTTGTCACACTTGTTTCAGGTAAATCAAAAGTTATAATACAACAGATGGCCTCAAAAATATATCAATTATTTTCAAATTGAAAAATATTTACACGCTTCATGCAATAAATGAATACTGCTTTAATGGAATTCTCTATCAATTTATTATTTGCACTTTCAAAAGCATACATGTCTATTTATGTCATACAAATTAAAAAGCACTGCAACACTTTTCACTCAAATCTTGTTAAGAAAAGCATAAAATACGACTTTCAATTTATTTCTGAGAAATTATTTCATAAATATCTTTTACATTTTTTTTGTAATCTGACCTGATCTACATAAGAAATTCAAATTTTATGTTAAAAAGGGTTTTGGACCTAAGTGGAGTTCCATTAAAACATTATAGGTAGCTTTCTTAATTTTCTATGATCAAGTTAAATACAAAAGCAAAATAAATGTACACAATTCTTGAGCTGGATCATTAAATAAAGCAACATTTAATATAAATGTGAACATAAAACGTTTCCAACAGATTCTATGGCCCCAATTAATACTTAACAAAAAAATTAAACCCATGTTTAAACACTTTAAAGTAAAACTACTTTTAAACTTATGCTCCCTCATTTATATATGAATATTTGTTGTACAGTCAAGACTCAAGCACCCCCTTTTATCAAATTGATAAAATTATATTCCTATATATATACTGTAAAGTCATATCTTTATAAACTGATAAAATTATATTCCTATATATATATACTCATATCTTTATACATGTACAGTCAAAACTCATGCACCCCCTTTTATCAAACTGATAAAATATATTTCTATATTACACAAAACTCACATCGTTTAACAACATTTTCATCATAAAAAATAATATTTCTTATGTGTTTACACCTACAGGTAATCATATGCTATACTAATTTTTATTTAATTTTACCTATGAAATATGGTGCTATATCAGTCAAATATATTTCATATTTTTTAAAAATAAATATGAAATATAAATATGAAAGTGGGCGGAGTCAAAACTCATATTTATTTTAAGGGACTTCTTTCGCCATTTTGTTTAGAAAATCTGATAAATACAAACAACTTTTTTGTTGAATTTTGTTTTGAAAACTATCTAGAATGATAGAAAATGGTCTAACTAAGAATAAATCCGGACACCAATATCTTTAATTCAGTCATTAACGCTGTACAGACGTTTAAAAAGTTGTTTACGTGACGTCACAATCTAGCGCTAAATATCGCGTGCAAAAAGACGATACTTATATTACTGCGCACTGTATAATTGCAGTTGCGTAGCAGGCAAGGGGGTTCATAACCATTTTTCTTTGATAATGAATTAAATAAAAAGGTTATTTTTTCGTTTTTTCGTGAAATATGGTATATATTTTCACTCAACATGATAAAATGCCTCATATTTTCACTCGCCGTCCCGGCTCGTGAAAATATGTGGCATTTTATCATGTTTCGTGAAAATATATTCCATATTCACTCAAACGAAAAAATATCCTCTTAGTATTCAGTTAACAAAAAAAAACTTGTCAGGGGAAGAAAATAAATTAAAGCACATAATGATTTGTTGCTACATTAAAGTAAAAACTTTGCAAAAAATGTGTAAAGTAAAAGAAATAATGAACATTTCTCAAATTTCCCATTCATTAACAGGGCCACAAAGTAATCACTTCTAAATTAAACACTAAAAATAACGAAAATGTTTAGCAAGAGTCAATGGTAACAATGTCATGACTAATTCCCGAGGTTTATAAAGTTGCCTTGAAACATATCAATCAGTAATAGTCAAAACCTTGCCCTGCTTGATTTTTGTAATGGATTTGCCCTGCTTTGAATAGGGATCAGTTCATTCTTTATTTCAAGGGTTTTGATGAAAAAGTACTAAATCATTAGTGGTCTGAAAGAGCAGCATTTAAGACTGGCATATTCCTTTATTTATAGTTTATGAAATTCTGTATGTCTTTTCTACAAGTTAAAGGTTTAAATTATCTTTCAGACACAACTTTTATATGCAGCTATTCAATCAGAAGACAAAATCTGGACCAAATCGATAATTTGTTAACCAGTCTAGAAAGCCACTCACCCATTGGCCAAATTCATATAAAACAAGAACTTGACCAATCAAAATGATGGATTTTGAGACTGGTTCCAAAATTTGATAAAAGTGAATCTTGAGATATAGTACAGTAAACTTCACATATAGCGAACACGGTTATAGCGAACTTCCGGTTATAAGGAACAAAATTGTTTGGCCCGAATTTTGCCCTTCTTCATTTCATGTAAAAAATGACGGTTACAGCGAACACGGTTATAAGGAATTATCGCTTATAAGGAACTCATTTTTTAGTCCCAATGCCATAAAAAGTACTTTATAACGAACTCCAAAATATCGGCTATCCGTGAACAGGTCACACATTTTCTATCATCGTTTTCATCGGCACAGAGTAAAAAACTTGGCCGAATGTAGCGGATACATTAGGAACAATGAATGACGATGACAGTCAATCATCCGAAGACGAGATCTATTTAGATGATCTGCCGGTTGTGTCAAAGAATGAAGCTATTGATTGTTTGCACAAGATTAGGTCATATTTCGAGTCTAATGCACATGTTAGAGAAACAGTTTTTAAAAGTTTATTGGATATTTAATTAAACCTGAAGAGTTGTAAACATTCCCAAACTAAATTTAGCGACTTCTTCAAAGCAAAGTGATTATTTCTGTGCATGATACTGTATTGTTAATAAATAACAATATTGCATATATTGTACATATCATATAATTATCTTATAGATATATTTATACATAAAAATTATATTAAAAAGAAACAACATTGCAATTATTCCTTTTTTTCTTTATTGAATCAATATAAGGGAGACAACACTGACGGACCCGAAAGTTATTTCTCTTAATCAAATGATCTTCAAAATGGAGGACGATGGTAAACAATTAGTTCGTTATATGTAAAACTGTTCGCTATAAAAACTTCTGATACAAGGAACTAATTTGCTATATGCTTACAAGGAACTCCGGATATAAGGAACAGATTTTGAATGTCCCAATGAGTTCGTTATAAGCGAAGTTTACTGTATTGTAATAAACATTAAATTTTGAGTATCATACAACAGAAAGAAAGAAATATATATAAATCTCCCCTCTCGTTTACAAAATTAGCAACAAAAATGTTATGAAACATTTGTAAACAAATATTAGTGACAGGTACAGTCAAAATATTCCCTCCTATTTTACCCACATTCACAGACAGATTCTTTTAACAATAACACATAAGCATTCTAAAAATAAACAATAAAATCTATTTTTAGCACTAGAGTGTACCTTCATTAGTATATATCTCATTTCATTCAAAGGCGTATATGTAACTTTAAAATAGTTATTGACCTCTTTTACTTAAATTATGATATTATCTGGTAATAAAAAATTTCAATTTGTCATATTAAAGCAATAAACATCTGATGCTAAAAATAGAAATTATTTGAAAATGGTGACAATGTAACCTAAAGATGAACAAAGAACCTAAAGATGTAAAATTAACCTAAATGCCCTAAGGATCAGTATCCTTGTAAACCATTGTATATTCGCTGTTTTGATTCTTGATCTAAAAGTTTTCGAAGAGCTGAAAACAGAAACATAGATAAATGTTAAGTAAGGTAATAATAATCTATATAGGTTGCAAGTAAAACTTCAATATATATTGTAAATGATAAATGCGCAAAAATATCTCAAAATAATAAATCAAATGGCCTTAATACTATCTTGGAAACTGAGGCTGATTTGTTAATTAAATATACACTGACTACTGTTTTTTTTTATTATTATTGGTTTGGTTTTATGTCACACCAACACAGTAAACATCATATGGCCACTTTCCAGCTTCACTGGTGGAGGAAGACCTCAAGTGCCCCTCCATGCATTATTTCAGGCACAAGAAAGCACCTTAGTAGAACTGAGTAAGCACCGACGTTCAGTGAACTAGTTGGATACCTTCCTTAACAACTTTAACCACTCTGTCATTGCAGGAGGTTTAACCTAGAGTATATCAGTTAACCTCTCTTGAATTTGAAACTTTACATCAACTAGTTAATCAATTTCAAGGATTAAAAGAAAATAATGGTAAAATTCTGCATTTCTAAGTATGGAAACTGTCTTGTAGCTTATTAAATTTCAAGAGGGTCTGACCAAAACAATGAATTATCTATCTAGCCTGAAATGTGCTTACCATACTTTTTCATACAGCGCTCAGGCCATCCTTAAAAAAATGTTTGTTTGCAGTAACGCGACCTACTCACAAAATTTGCCCCTACTCAAAAGTTTTTTTCATGGTCTGGATAAAAACAATTTTTTTTTTAATCAGAAAATTATGCCTTGTGCTTTGTTTTTGTTCTTTTAAAGGTTAATAGAAGAAATATTTAATGTAGGTATTATTTAATTAGAATTCATTTATCAATTTATTAATTGTTACCAGATTATCAAAGCATAAATTGTCCAGCATTTTGAAATTCCATGTTTATTTGGGAGTACAGTTCAATAATTAAAAAAAAAAATCAAAAAAAAAATCGACCTACCTACCCACCTTGAAAATTCTGGGTCGGGTTACTGCAAACAAACATTTTTTTAAGGATGGCCTCAGTTAAAAAAAACCACTAAACATAATAAATTATGATTGACAGGTGCAATAGGTCAACCTTACTTATTTCTCTTGAGTAAAAAGAAAAACATGCAAAATGAAAAATATGACAAATACCTTCTCTTTGCTCTTCAGTTAATGTTCCTTTCGGAAAATCTATATCAAATGTTAAAAATAAATTGCCTTTAACATTATTGTTGTCGTAATTAGGCATCCCTTCGTGAGGCTTCCTCATTTTGGCACCAGGCCAAGTAATTTTATCTCGAACTATATGTACCTGAAATAAACACAAGTACACATGTTTGAAATATCTTTTACTACAAATCAATGATTATCTATACCTGTGTGTAGATTGTCGAATGGTTAAGAGCCGCCTACCTTCCTGTTAGTTCAATTCTTACAAAAGTATCACGGAATCAATAAATAGACTTACTCTGGAATTAAGAATATTTTGGGATTTCCCAGCTAATCGAGGGGTAAAAACACTTTAACGATAAGCACAACAGACTGACCAATATATTGTGACTGTTAGTGCAACGTGAAGCTTTAACGGTAAAAGTTTCTTTGCATGGGGGGATTAGCATGGAAAAACCCGTATTTGCCAGTTTCGGATAACATCTATTGCCTAAGTGGTTTTGAGCACTGTCATTTTAGCTAAGTGGGAGGTCACGAGTTTGAATCCAAGCTGCTGTACGATCTTTTCTGATGCATGTTTCTGTTACATACTCAAAATATTTCTAAAAAAAGCCATAATCTTACAAGTTCTGCTTTCTAATGGGCCAATATTTTTCAGTCTACAAAATAACTATTTTGAATGATGATAATAGGTTATTTTAATGGGCCAATATTTTTCAGTCTACAAAATAACTATTTTGAATGATGATAATAGGTTATTTTGCTTGGAACAACTGCATTTAATACAACTTTATATAACTAATTTCAATGCAGATTTTCTGAATGTGAATTTCTGATTCTTCTTCTTAGATCAGAGCGGCTTCATAAAACTCAGATATATATATATGATAATATAAATAAGCTTATTTTAAATATTCCATTGAAACAAATGGTCCATGAGGATAAACAGACACATGATAGATGACTAAATCTTTTTTGAAGGAAAAACAAAACAAACAAAAAACAAACAACAAACAACAAATAAACTTGATACATTGATGCACATGTAGTTTTATGATAAACTTACAGTATGGCCATCTAAATGAGGAATATCCATTTCAAAACCAATCATAGCATCCACCAATGTGATTGTTACATTTGTATATAAATCATCCCCTCTACGCTCAAATCTGGCATGCCTAAAACAAGACACAAAACACATACAAATAAGATAATAACACATGTGAAAGTTCACTTGGTTGTATTATTACTGTTGTGTTAAGTTTTAGTCAATATTTACATTTTTATAAATACATTCAAACGTAACCACTTGCCCACCATTCAGGTGACAAAGACTTTTGTTTGTTTTTTCATAACAATTGTTATTTTTAATATCAATATGTAAATAAAACTGTGTCCATGCTTTAAAGTAACTCCACTGAGGTTCAAAAGCCTAAAAACATAAAATCAGAGATCAAATATCAGTAACGGCACATTAAACAGAAAGATATACAAGATAATTAAGACACTCAAATTAATTGAAAAACATATTTTTTGCTATCCTTTGCCTGCTTTGAGTGAAAAACAATGCAACGCTTTTCAATTTTTGGTCATTTTTCACAATAAAAACCTCAGTTTCTAAACAATCATTTTAAAATAATTCTGTATAAACTAACTGGGTGAAAAAAACATGGATATCAAAATTTTATTAAAAACACTTACTTTTGCTGTTTAATTTTAAATCTAAGATCTCCTGGGTCACCATCTATATGTGGCTCACCTGTAACAAAAAAATAATACTTCATTATTGGCTTATGTTTACTAAGCTTTTAGACTGTACTTCATATCTTATAATATTGTCAGTACTTCATATCTTATAATATTGTCAGTTTGTTGAAAATAACTGGAAAATTTTACGAAGTTTAGATAATTTTTACTCTTTCAGTAAGAGAAAAACTAACAACCCTCTAAAAATCTAGGGGTACATAATAAACATATATACATCTCTGGAGTAAATAGCTTCACTTTTTATGTATTTTGGGCCGAAGGCCTTTATTTAGCACTATAGTTAATTTGAGTTTCGTGTATTTGAAAACACTAATGACACAAAGCACATAAGAATATTTATAACCTCACCTTCAGCAACAAAAGGATATTCTTGTCCATCTCTCATACCAGGCTCTATCTCAATCTCTAACATTTTCTCCTCTGGTACAAACCTGAAAATCAACCAGAAATGAAAATATTCTATTCTGGGGCAGTGCAATTAAATTTCTATGGAAAAGTAATAAATTCATTTTTTTTCAGGGTTTGGTTTTTTAGTCAAACTGACAGACGAAGGGGCCATTTATTGGCTTTTTTCTATTTTCAAAATGTGGCGAAAGACCTCAAGTGCCGATCTTTGTATTATTTCAGGCACATGAAAACACATGTGTCGAACCACTACTGTTCCTAACCTGGCTAAATCAGAGATGTAGAAAACATGTTATCTATGAGTCTGGCTTAATAAAATCCTAGCATGAAACAATTAGAGGTCCCAATCTGTATTTTAGCTCGCAGAGAGTGGAAAATAGGTCAGCGACTTCATTCACTTGGCCACTGAGGGCCAAATAAAGCAATGTAGTTACGTACTTGACATTAGGACAGTCGTCACAAACTTGTTGCTGCTGCATCTGGAATCGTCCCGGACCTAACTGTGTTGTCACCATCTCTGTACGACAGTTACATTTCCTTGTACCTTTAGCCGGCTTAGCAACTGATTTATATCTTAGAACCTTTACCAAAAGAAACAGAGTCAAAATTAATGTCTGATTATCATAACAATATGTTTTCACATACAATAAAAGAAAGAAAATGTAAATATTTTATAGCATATTAATGAAAACAACAAGAAGCGCCGCAATGCGACGAAAACCAGGTTTTTTAACGACTTAGTTTTGATGTGACAGCAATCAATAGGCCAAAAAGCAATGAAGTGTAGCGTTACCCCCTGTTTAGGTAGCGATAATTTATAAGAGTTACAAAGAACACATGGGGGCAAACTACATGAGTTCGCCTGGGCCCGGCTTTTTGGTAAATTGATATTTACTGCCTGTCTGGCAAGGAATAACGGAGGCAATTTAAAGTTTAACGATTAACTTTATTAAAGGAATTAAACAGTTATAACGAACAGCTAATAATATTACATCATATAGTTATTAAAATGTTTATTTGTATTTACGACAAATAGTAATATTGTGCACCCTAATTCTTTTAATTCATCTGAATAAATACAACGAATTCTTTTCGAACACAAATGTCAAATTGTTCCTAAGATATTTGTTCCAAGTTTTAATGTAGGAGTCTTCTAAGCAAGTTCACACTTTAATATGTTATCACCGAGAAACAAATACACTTAAATATTATATTCACCGATTTAGTGGTTTCATACCACAAAGAAACTAGTATCAAATATAGTTAGACTACGCCGTAAGATTTACCCTTTTGTAGCTTTTACCAGTTGGTGAATTTTACCAGTTGGTAAATGTTAGCAACTTCGACAATCCTCGTCACAGTTTATCAACATCTTTGAACAATTGTACACATTAATAAATTAGCACTTGAAATATACGCATGATAGAGATTAGTTATGAGAAATACACGTTGGTTCAATGGTTTATAATTTTCACCAACTAACAAGGTAAATTTAACGAACTTTACACTTTAAAAAGAATGGTTATATTGGTAAACACAAGACTTAAACACTTTGAAACACTGGAGATGGAGACACTTAGGAATTACCACATTTTTATTTATTTGGTTGATTTAGGGAACTTTACCTCTTCTGTGCCCATAGTTATTTTACCAATTGAATTTATTTTCTCGTTGGTGAGCGACACACGGAATACCCTCGTCAATGGTATTCCGAAAAAAATAACAATGCCGCTGTATTTATATGAAAATTTCGTCAGATGTGACGTCATCAGCGATGACGTAGTAGGAAATGTAATGGCGGACATAAACCAGGAAGTAACTCAAAATTCACTATTCTTTTCTGGATTTTGAACTTATAAAAGCACTTTGAATGTTTTGAAAGGTACACTTTGTGAAAATAACAGTTATATTATTGATATTTATCAATAATTTTTAATACCATTTAAGAATATATGAATAAGACACGATTATCTGCTGAAATAAATAGCGGCGAATTCAAGCATAAAAATACGTCACTTTTAAAGCGTAGATTAGGGTGCACAGTAATTATTTCCTGAAAAAAACATGAATTGTCAACACATATTACAAATATACATCATGAACAGTATTATAGTACTACAATATTATACATAGTACATTTAAAAAATACATATCAATATTTCTAAGGCAAAGAAAGTGGGTGGGGTAATGTAAATATTTGTTTTACATTGAGGTGCGATCGTTACATTGCCCCACACTATCTAAGTTTTGGTCCCCAAAACATTATATATTAGTTTAAATTTCCTTAGAAGAACAAGTACAATAATAAAACAATTACATTTTACCAAATTCAAAATATTAGCTTAAAGACTTCACCTGTCATCAAGTAAGACCTTAAGACAAACTTCAAGTAAAATACTTAAGCCATTCAATTTAACTTTCTTAACTGTAATTAAATTTGTCATAAAGAATAGAAAAGAAATATATTTACAATATTTTAAACTATATGAACTAGATATTAGGAACAGTGAAGTTATTTTTCAAAATGAATAATTTCCTCAAAAGTACTTAACATGTGAGCATTACAGTCACAATCATTTTCTCTCTCAAAGTTAAAGTTAACAACAATACAATTAAAAAAAAATACATGTGTTCAATTAAAACTTTTAAAGGTGAACCAAGCTAAAAGTACTTAAGTTGATTCACTTACACATTAAACTATACACTATATATCTTAATAAACAACTTAGAAAATATTTACAACAATAGTTATTTACTATGACAGAATTTATGATTCGTGACAAATGTTTATCTTTTAAAGACTTTATACTTGAAAACGTTTGATTTATTGTCAGTTACTATCATACATGTTTATGTGCTTAAAAAAAATCACCAAAACAACAAACACATCTTGAGCACAGTAACCCTTTAACAAATGTAACTTTCCTACTATACACTCTGTCTTTTCAAAAACATTTAATTTCACTTTTTTATTCACTTCATATTACTCACTTTAGTTTCTGAGCAGTTAACCCTGTAAGAGGAACAATATTGGCTCCTACCACACTCACTTGGTCAATCTTACTAATTGTCTTGATAATTTTGCACTTACACCTGGCTTAACTTTGGTGTTATACAACCAAACTAAATCACCCGCATCAAATGCAGTTTGCATTAATCTGTGGTCGTAAACATGTTTTTGTGAATCGCTTGCCAATAAAATATGTTTTCGCGCAACCTCATGTACTAAATTTAATTTATCCGTAAGCAGAGATGCATATTCAGTTTCAGATATTCTTTCTATGTTTTTAGGTTGTCCTAATGCTAGATCAATAGGTAATTGCATCTCTCGTCCAAACATTATCATACTTGGTGTAAACCCTGTACTTTCTTGTACAGAAGAATTATATGCCATTGAGATAATCGGTAAGTATGTATCCCAGTCCTTCTGATTTGTTGTCACAAATTTTGACAACATAGCTTTTATCGTTCTTTGTCCTCTTCCTACCAATCCGTCGGATTGCGGCCTGAAGGCCGTTGTTCTAGTTTTCTCCGACCCTAAAATTTCACACATCTCCTTAAAGATACGTGACTCAAAATTAGTACCTTGATCGGAATGAAGTTGCTTAGGTACACCGAATACTGAAACAAAGTTTTCAACAAAACTGTTGGCTACGGTGTGGGCCTCTTGATTTACTAATGGAATTGCTACAATCCATTCAGTAAAGTAGTCAACAATGGTAAATAAATACTTATTTCTATTATTGCTTTTATGCAGAGGTCTAGTTATATCTATACCAACTCTTTCCAAAGGGGCACCTACTAGATACTGTTTCATAGCAGCTTTTGCTTTTCTTGGAGGGCCTTTCTGTGAATCACACAGGTCACAGGTTTTGCACCAACTTTTCACATCTTTGGATAATCCAAACCAAAAGAACCGCTGCTTTACTTTCAGATTAGTTTTACGTTCCCCTAAGTGACCTCCTATAAGTCTATTGTGTAGCTCCAATAACACCTCATTGACTAACACTCTAGGCAACACCACTAGGTACTTAATAGATTTCCCATCAATTTCTTCCCAAAGATGGTATAAAACTCCATTTTCTATCTTTAATGAATCATATCGATTCCAATAATATTTTAACTCCACCGATCTTGGAGATACTTCAGACCATTTAGGTTTTTCATTATTTTGTAACCACATCTTTATAGTATTTATAATTTCGTCTTTATCTTGGACATCTGCAATAGATTTGCCATTCAACGAAATTAGGATTTCTCTAACTGGTGTGTTACTAACATCAGTATTATTCCAACATGTGGGGATCTTAGACTTTATGTCACCCATACCACATGTTTCATTAGGAATATTCCTTTGATGTTCATTTACTATCTCAGACCTATGACTTTCACATTCTGTTGATACTTCACTATCATCAGCAACAGTTTCAATGTCCTGCATGTTTACACTCTTGCTGACTTTCTGAAGCCCAACAACCTGCTCTTGATCTTGGATCACATTAACAGCTTGGTGAAAAGCATCGTCATGCCCACCTTCTAATTGCAAATCAATATCACCCAAGATTTCAGAACTCTTTCTACTACTTCTATTAAGCAGTTCTTCCTCTTGTTCTAATGAGTTCTGACAAGCATTAACTTCAACATTAAATGTTGTGCTTATCCCCTCTTCTAGCCTATCTTTCATATCCAAACCTAATTCGTATACTGGCTTTGTATATCTGACGTCTGCTTTATCACAGTACGTGCATCCACTATGACTACAAGGTCGTCTGGACAACGCATCAGCATTTGAATGAATACGACCAGCTCTATGTTTTATCTCATAGTCATAAATCGACAACGTCTCTAGCCATCTGGCCACTTGGCCTTCTGGCTGTTTAAAATTGGTTAACCACCTTAAAGCGCCATGGTCGCTCCTTATTATAAAATGACGTCCAAACAAGTAATGGTGATAATGTTTCACTGAACATATCACGGCAAGAAGCTCTCTTCTGGTTACACAATACCGTCTTTCTTCTTTCGAAAGACATTTACTAAAATATGAAATAACTTTTTCTTCACCATTTTGCATCTGCTGCAATACAGAGCCGATACCAACTCCACTTGCATCAGCGTCTAAGATATATATACCATCAGACTTTGGATATGACAATACTGGAGCATTTATCAATCCAAATTTAAGATTTTGAAATGAGGTTTCACAAGCCTCTGACCATTGAAATCGTTCACCTTTTTCAGTCAATTTGTGCAATGGTTTAGCAATTGACGAAAAGCATTTTACAAATTTTCTATAGTAAGAACACAGTCCTAAGAAACTACGCACCTCACGTACGTTTCTTGGTGTTTTCCAATTTTGCACATCTTCAATTTTTCGGGGATCAGTTGCAATTCCTTTTGAACTGATTAAGTGACCAAGGAACCTAACTTGTTTTTGAAATAAAATACACTTTTCGGGACTAAGTTTTAAATTTGCATTTTTCATGCGTGTGAATATAGCATCAAGACTAGATAGATGATCGTCAAATGTTTTAGAATAGCTTATTATATCATCAAGATATACTAAACATTGGTTCCAAGTAAG